TCGCGCTCCTTGGCCTCTTTTGTGCCGGGAGACAGTTTTTGCTTTTTGGCTGGAGGTTGTGTACTGGTGTGAGGCTGAGCCTGAGCCGCTGCTGACGGGATTTGCACCTCGACTCGTACTTGCGATTTGGCGGGGGTGGCGACGCGCATTGCGAGGTCGATAGGAGGAAGCAGGTCAATCGTATTTGTAGCATCGCTCAATGGCGACGACAGCGGTGGCGAACCGTCCGCAGAAGGAGCGAGATTACGCTGTAGGTCGGACAGAGATGTTGATGGTGGTGTATGTGGTGCAGACGGGCCATCACCGGTCGTCGTGGCCTGGGCGGTTGGCGTCGCAGGCCTAGTCTCACGCGCACTCGCAGCAGCGTCGTCCGTCACCTCATCCGCCGAACGTTTCCTATTGCTGCTGCTGCCGCTGCTGCTGCTATCGCCGCCGATGCTTGTGACATGAGGTGGTGCTGACGGCGGAGGGAGCTGTACGCGTGTTGACTCGGTGACAACCTGGCCCTCCCTCTCAGGTGCCATCGCGACTGCGGCCAGGTCCTGCTGCGGCAAGGTTGTGGACAGGGCCGATGGCTCACCGCAGCACCGTCACCGTCTGCCGTACGCTGGCGCAGCAGCAGCGATGCTGAAGCAGTTGGCGCGTGGGTGGATATCGGGGCCTGCCTGTGGTCTAAGCCTGGCCTCGCTGGGCCTATGATCCGCCGCGCGCAACGAGAGCGGTGCAGGCTCAGCAGTCTCGTTTCGCGCGTCCTGCAGTCGACAGCGATGCGTATGGCGTGGCCCCAGCCAGTCAGTTGGTAGGGACAGTGGCGCGGACGCTTCGCGCTCAGCTGGTGGCAATCTGAAGCAAGCGACGGACTGAGCGCACGCGCGAGGGCACGCGGGGGGGAAGGCGAACGCCGGCGGCTGCGACGAGCTATGGATTGTGACAGTGCGCGGCAAGCAGGAGCTGGCCAGACCTAGACTCGAAGAGCTTACACAACATACACGGGCCGCTCAGGCCGTCGACCAGGCCAGTCCGAGCCATGCCTCAGTGCTGCACCAGCTGGCGCGCGAACCGCGGGGCAGCGTGTCTGGACTTTTGCTGCGCGCCCGCGAGACTTACTGGGCCGGCCTGGCTTAATGAGCTCCCGGGTCGAGTGACGGCGCGACTAGCGCTGGGCCGGCCGCCGCCTCGTTGTTTCGCGGCTCCGCGGACTTTTGCAGCGAGCGAGCGCAATGCGACCGGCGGATTTACTGACGGTGACAGCGCGGTTGAGCTGGTCTGGTCAAGCTGCTGTGCATCCGACAGGGAGGACTCTCGAGGGGGGGGTTCTGGGATAGGGCCTCTGATCAGCACCGCGTCAGGCACACGCACAGGCATCGGCCGCCCAGCAGTCACAGTCACAGTCGCCATGGACAAGGTCCTCACGCCGCAGGAGAAGCTCTCTCTCATCACCTCCGGTCTCCAGGAGGTGCTGAAGCCGGAGCTCCTGGAGGATATCGTGGTCAAGCAGGACCGGCCACTATGCGTCTACTTCGGTGAGTAGTGCTTCAGCCGCGGGGCACTGAGGGCTCCAGGCTTGCGGCAGCGTGGCGGCAGTGGCAGTGGCAGGGGCGATCTGACACTGCGTTCTCTGTCTGTACGTGTAGGGACCGCTCCGACCGGCCGGCCGCACTGCGGCTACTGGGTGCCGATGGTCAAGCTCGCGCACTTCCTTCGCGCGGGCTGTCACATCAAGATCCTGCTAGCCGACATCCACGCCTTCCTTGACAACCTCAAGGCTCCGATCGACCTGGTCGAGTATCGGACCGAGTACTACCGCAAGGTCATCATCGCGATGCTCGAGACAATCGGCGTGCCGATCGACCGCCTGGAGTTCGTCAAAGGCAGCAGCTACCAGAAGTCGGCCCCCTACGTTATGGATATCTACCGCCTCACGTCCATCACGTCAGAGCACGAGGCGAAGCGCGCGGGCGCTGAGGTCGTCAAGCAGGTCGACAACGCGCCCATGTCGGGGCTGCTGTACCCGCTCATGCAGGCCTTGGACGAGGAGCACCTGGGCGTCGACGCGCAGTTCGGCGGTGTCGACCAACGCAAGATCTTCACCCTGGCGCAGGAGTTCCTGCCGAAGCTGGGCTACAAGGACCGGGTGCATCTCATGAACCCTATGGTCCCCGGGCTCGCGGGCGGCAAGATGTCCGCGTCCGACCCGGACTCGAAAATCGATATTCTGGACGACGCGGACGCCGTCAAGAAGAAGCTACGCAAGGCCTACGCCAAGCCAATGGAGGTTGAGGGGAACGGCGTCATCTCGTTCGTCGAGTACGTCCTGCTGCCTATCAGCGCGCTCTCGCATCCTGAGGGCAAGGGCGAGTTCGTCGTCGAGAGGAGGCAAGAGGAGGGCGGCAAGGTTGTCTACACTGACATCGACAGCCTCAAGTCTGATTATACTGCTGATAAGGTATGTCCTGTCAATGTCGGCTCGGCCGCGTAGTTGCACCTGCATTCTCATGGTTCGCCTGCTGACACCTCTCACCAGCTTACACCCCAAGCCCTCAAGAGTGCTGTCACAAGCACTCTGCAAGGGCTACTCGCGCCTATTCAGGAGAAGTTCAGGGCCGACAAGGAGTGGCAAGAAATCACTGACAAGGCGTACCCGCCGCCACCGAAGGAGGAGAAGAAGCAGAAGAAGCAGAAGAATAAGGGTACCAAGTACCCCGGAGCGGCCAAGGCCGCGACCACACCTGCGACCGAGGAGGTTGCCGCTGCTGCTGATGGCGTAGCGGCGCTAGGGGTGAAGGAGTAACGACGGAGCTATCGCGGTTGCAGCTATCCCCGCTATCTCTGCTACCTCTGCGTGGCATGCCACAACCTGTACTGTGTATCTACGAGTCACGACCATCTTGGATTGCCAGTGCAGCCACACCTTCTGGGTGACCCTTGCTTACCGCACTGGCTGCCCCCGTCATACCGTCCGTAGCACTCAGCCTTCAATGCCTCCTCACCCCCAAGACACCGCTGGCCATGCCTCGGCGGCTTTACGGGCCAATGCCGCACATGTGCCCCTGACGGCAGCAGTCGCGACGGGCGGCAGCTCTGACGCGACACGCCCACGCACCTTGACGTCACCCGTGCCAGTACAACATTTTGTCGGCGGTTGACAGCCGCCGATCGACAAGCTAGATCTGCAGGTGAGGGCAGCATGTCATGCAGCGCGCGGTGTGCATTGCACGCTGCTAGCACCGGCGATCATGGCGTTTCGATTCAACTTCGCAAGCGATGACATTGATCCGGACGAGGAGGAGGAAGAGCAGCGCGTGAGCTCTGGTCTCGGCGACCTGACGCTTGAGGATGACGCCGATGCGCCCCAGCTGCAGCCTGCAAGGCGGCTGCCACTGGACGAGCTGGTGAGCGATCACGGTATAGTCGTCAGCGGCAGCCACAGGCGACTAATGTGTCACGATTGCCTGTCGTATTCATATAGCTTGCCGCACTGCCATCGACACTATACTACAATCTGCTTGACATCACGCCGCTATCCGAGTCATTAGGAGACTCCTCGCCGAACACAGCCTCAGACGATGCAGACCAAGCCGCGCAGCCGCTAGTCACTGTACCCCGGCGGGAGATCTTCGATATCCGCGCACAATTGATGGCCGAGGTCGACCTTACCGCCGAGACGCGTGAGGAAGAAGAGAGCAAGACATTGATCAGGGGTTTGGAGAAGGGCGATCTGGATCCACGCGTCTACGAGGGAGGGTTCAAGACATGGGAGTGTGCAGTTGATCTAGCCCGGCTAATCCTGAGGGATGAGGTGGACGACCTTTTTGATGATTCTGACGCACAGTCGACGACTGTCGTGGAGGTGATTTGCTCTGATGCTCACGCGCAAAAATGCTCGCACTACGCTGACCTCCATGCTTTCCCATTTGCAGCTTGGTGCTGGGACCGGCATACCATCTCTCGTGCTTCTCCGGCATATCTTGATGCAGTCACCTCCACCAGAGCCGCGACAGTCCCGCTCAATCCACCTCGTGCTTGCAGACTACAACGCGACGGTGTTGCGGCTAGTGACGCTGCCGAATATACTCCTGACATGGGCGCACTGCCGGGCCAATGCACCGCGTGCATGTGACAAGGATCACTCAGCACCCGTGTCACAGCCTGCTCACCATTCGCCAAGGAGGCATAAGTCAGATGAGGACCTGGAGCTCGACATTACAGCGGAGCTACTCGCCTCATTCCGGCAGGATCTCCGGCGGAGAAACATCACGCTCTCCTTCATTTCAGGGGCATGGTCCCGCGATTTTGTCGACCTTGTCCTTGCTCCACCGCTTCGCGACGCAGCGAAGGCCACTTCTACAGACGAGTCTCAGTCTGCCCAGCAGTCACCGCCGAACGAGTCCACACGTCGTGGGCGACTGCTGATCCTCGCCAGTGAGACCATATACTCACCCGCAGCGTTGCGGCCATTCTCTGAGACGCTTGCTTCACTGCTTACGAGTCGGAAAGACGCTGCTGGTGCTGCCATCAAAGGAACGAAGGTTGCTCGGGCTCTAATTGCTGCCAAGCGCGTCTATTTCGGCATCGGCGGGGGTATAGATGAATTCAGAGACGTCATGCAAGATGTGCAGCACAAGGAGGGCTGCGACTTTGTCTTTGAGGAGCGGTTAGACGTTGATGACGTGGGCGTTGGCCGCACGATCGTCGAGATCCAGTCTCACTAGCAGAAATCATAGGCGGCACGGCTGCGCTGCATGAGCACAGTAGTCGCATGCTTCGAAAGTCAGTCGTGGGCATTCAATCAGACTTGGTCAAGTACGAGAGCACCAGCTACTACCTACTCAACATGAACTCCGAACTGCTTCATATCGTCACAATCGCACCTTGTGCCAAACTCCAAGCAGCTGACAGTCTATTCAGACTCGAGAGTCAGGCAGCAGACGCCAAAAACTAGATCAATTGCTGATGGAAGCTCACGCAAAACGCGAAGCGTTTCGAGTTGCTACAAAAAGCGATCGACGCAGGATTCGAACCTGCAATCTTTCGTACCGGAAACGAAAGCCTTACCATTAGGCCAGCCGACCAATTCTTCTAAAATCGAAATCTCATTGAAACTTGATGAATGGTCAGCAGTGTAATGGCGTCCGAGGCCAGAATGGAGAGTGTGGATGGGCTGATCAGAACGCCGTGCAAGCCACTTGTGAGCACTGAGTCGGACTCGCATTGCTGTCTATCGGTAGAGTCGCGACATGTTTGCGCCAGTTGCGAAGACGCGCCCCAGCCCATTGGGCGATGCGCCGAGTCATTTACGGAACCGCAATTGACGCGCACGCGAACCACCGCCCGCCGTGTCTGGTGTAGAGCGGCGGAGCAACCTCGTGCCAGACCAGCACTCCTGCAGCTGAGCTTGCCAGGACTGACCTGCCCTGTCACGCAGCTTTGCGCCGTTGATACAGCCCGCACGATCCAACTCGCGACTTGACACGGGTCAGCTGCCCCTCGGCCACGTCAATGGCTTGATACTCAATTGGTGCAACTTGCGCCGACCTGACCAGCTCGTCTCGTCCCAGGTCCCTGCCAGCCCCGCGCAAGCCCTTCTCACCGGCACTCCCGTTCGATCGCACTAGCGCCTCGGTCCTAATCAATCAGTGTATGTCGTGGGAGGGCGATCAAGAGGGCGCCGCTCGAAAGGGTACTTCTAGCGTACCACCAGCTGCGCTGTGTCGCCCGGCCTGGTAGCGGCTCCCTGCGTGAGCGCGTCAGCCATCTCAACCTCGTCGGACAGCTTGCTGTATTGATCGCATGATGGCGCGCGCCACTCGCCGAAGTCGGACCTCCGACACGACTGAGCAACAGGCATCGTCACCGCCAGCACCACCGCCCGAGCTGCCGTCACCCACATCCCCGCCACCGTCTACGTTACGACGACCAACGAGCCACAGGGCAACCGACCATGACGTGGATGGCAACGAGGGAGCGCTTGTGCGACTACGGTTCTCTCAGCCACTGTCATGGCGCGCAGGTCGAGCCATACCCGTTGCAGAACTGCTGAAGCGCCTAGAGACTCTGGCACGAGAGCTTAGGCAGTATGAGCAGGAAGAGTTGGACGTTAGTTCCTTGCAGACTGTTACGCGACAGCTTGCCAGCGGACACCTGCTGGCGCATCGTGACAAGGGCGTCAGAGCCTGGACTGCCTGCTGTCTGGTCGATGTATTAAGACTGTGCGCCCCAAATGCGCCCTTCACCGGCAATGAGTTACGGGACATCTTCACGACATTTATCACATCAATCATCCCTGCATTAGCAGATCCGTCGAACGCATACAACGAGCAGCATATCTACGTGCTCTCCTCACTAGCGGAGGTCAAGTCAATCGTCTTGCTCACGGATCTGGACAATGCGGATACTCTCATCCTCTCGTTGTTCTCGTCATGTTTCGACATCGTCTCGGGTTCCACCAAAGCCTCCACAGGAGAGGAACTCGCGAAGAAGGTTGAATATGATATGGTCAGATTGCTTGTGCCAGTGATCGATGAAGCGCCGGTGCTCAGTCCTGAGGTAATCGATGTCATCATTGCGCAATTCTTACGAGTCGACCCACGAGCATTGGGCGCCGAGAATCAGCCAGCAAAAGGGGGCAAGCGAAAGCACGCAACGGCAGCAGCAGACCCGAAACAGAAGACACTGCTGCCGAAGGTGTATCCACCGGCCTACAACATGACCAAGGCCCTGTGCAGCGCGTGTCCGGAAAAGATGGCGAGTTATGTGAGCCAGTATTTCAACAATGTCATACTCGATGCCTCGGCGTCATCACGGTCGATCAATGGAATGGGGAGGAGAGGTACACACTCTGCCACAACAGCGATACCAAACGACTCTGAAGACGAGCCCGAGGACATCGCAGAATTGAGCAAAGCACACCGACTGATTCGTGAGCTCTGGCGGGCCTGTCCGGACGTACTGCAAAATGTGGTACCGCAGATCGAGGCCGAGCTATCTGCTGAGAACGTCTCGCTGCGCCTCCTTGCAACTCAGACCATCGGTGACATGGTCTCTGGTATTGGAGTTGCTGGACCTCCTCCACCGCCGCCTCTGCACCCAGCTGCCTATCCTCCCGCCAAGCTCTCGCCCAGCGGTGCCGTACCTGCGTTCACCAAGGGCACGCTTGTGGACGGCAGCATCCTCCTGACGCCACTCAGCACCAAGCCGTTTGCACAGGTACACAGCAGTGCATATGCCTCATTCCTCTCTCGCAGGCAGGATCGTTCAGCCACTGTGCGCGCGGCATGGGTCACCGCCGTAGGACGGATCATTCGCACCAACGCTGGTTGTGTTGGCGTGAGTAACGCAGAGTCTGCGGAACTCATCGCATCATTAGGCAAGATGCTTGTTGACGGCGACGAGAACGTGCGCATCGCGACCATCGAGGTCCTAGAGCTGTTTGATCTTGACGAAATCATCTACAAGATCGCGTCCGATGGCGGCGTCGATGCACCTGATTCCGCCCTAGGCTTACTTGCCGAGCGCGTCAAAGACCGCAGGCAACCGGTGCGAGAGGTTGCCATGCGGTGCCTCAGTCGCATGTGGGGTGTAGCCAGCGGCGAGCTTGAGCAAGGCAGTGAGACTGTCACTGCAGCGCTCAAGGACATACCAAGCCGCATCTTCGGCGCCTTCTATGCCAACAATGCTGAGATAGAGCTGCTCATCACACAGGCCATGTGCGAATCGCTATTGCCGCTGACTTACCCACCGATCAAGACCAAGGCCAAGGACAAGGAAAAGGCCGCCATGGAGGCTACAGCCGATATGGCCCGCACAAGGCGCATCCTTACCCTCACGAGGTACCTTGACGACAGAGCCAAACGAGTCTTTTTCTTGCTGCAGACGCGTCAGCTCAATCTGGCTACATTCATGCGAGCCTTCTTAGATGCTTGCGAGGAGTATAACGGTGGTATCATGGACGCACAGGAAGACGAGACCAAGGAAAAGCTGACGCGGATCATCAGCGCCATCGCAAAAACGCTACCAGACCCAAGCAAAGCCGCTGACGACCTGTGGAAGTTCGCTATGGCGCACGATCGTCGGAACTATCACCTCATTCGCTTTGCGATGGATCTCAACAGTGACTACAAGACTGTCGTCCGTGCAACTCGGGAGCTGACAAAGCGTCTGGAAGACAGCAATTCGCCCCTCAATTCGACTTTCCGGACGAGTCTGTTGCCCTTGGTGCATAGGAGCTCTAGCCTTATTTTCAACAAGAGTCATGTGCCAGCCATCATGGAGATATCACGTCGCGATGACATGGGATTGAGCAGCTCAGCGCACGAGATGCTCAAGGAGATGTCTACACACAACCCAGAAGTCTTAAAAGCTCATGTCGCGGAGATATGCAAGGATATTGAAGCAGCAGCCCCTGCAACGTTAGAGCAGGGGCCAGGTCCGACTCGGGACATTGAGCAGCTGCTCAAGGCCTGCGCGGGCTTCGCGAGAAAGATGCCTGGGAAGGTCCCGCAGGACCGGAAATTCATGCAGGCGTTGACGCGCTATGCCATGTTCAGCCGCAGTCCGCAGGCTGCTAAGCATGCTGTCACGACGTTGATGGCCGTTACGGATAAGAAGGAAATGTACGCGAAGGAGCTTGTCAGGAGCAGCGTGGATGGATGGACCTATGGAATGCCGGGATTCCTTACAAGGCTAGCAACGATTGCGCAGGTGAATCTCCTTGCTCCAGATCAGGCCGACGAAGCTAGCGAGCAGATCATCAGCATCGCGACGGATCAAATACTCTTGAAGAACCGAGCTTCGAAAGGCATACAGAACACCGACTATACATGGGACGATCATGTTGACGACGAGACCGCCGCAAAGACCTGGGCTCTGAGGGTATTAGCCAATCGCATTCGCTCCAAGCAAAGCTCGACAGATGACGATGCCTTCAAGAATTTCGTGGCACCCGTGTTCACGCTGCTGACCACCTTAGTGGCGGAAAGCGGCGAGCTGTCAAAAGACAAGGATACTCCGGCGACACAGAAGTCACATTTGCGGCTCATTGCAGCGAATCTGATCCTCAAATTATGCAGCTCCAAAGTCTTGTGTGACAGGCTGTTCGAGCCGCAAGATTTCAACAAGGTTGCCCTGGTGGTTCAGGATCCGCTGTTTCCAGTGCGATCAGGCTTCGTCGCTCAACTGAAAAAGCGACTGACGCGCGCATCACATCTTGGCGTGCGCTGGTACACTATTCCGTTCCTACTGGCCTTTGAGCCCGATTTGCATCTCAAGGAGAGCACATTGACGTGGGCCCGGTCACGGACCGTATTTTTCACGAAGCAA